GGGCGGCATCGGGTAGTATCCGGCTGGCGCGGGAGGGCGTGGCGCGACCGGTGGAGCGGACCCACCGCGGGTGGTACCGGCGGCGTGGGCGGTGTGCTGGACCCGCTGCTTCAGCTTCGTCATCCGGCGCTCCTCAAGCTTGAGGTATGCGATGACGTGCTGAAAGGTAGGCTGCGGCAGCAGGGTGAGGTTGGATGCCGTGTCGCTGAAGTCCTCGTTGAGGCCGGTGGTTAGGGTGATCAGCATGAGGTCGTCAGACACCTTGGCGCCGATGTCGCGAAGGTCGTCGGCAAGCATCTTGAGCCTCATGCAATACTTATCCATGGTGGAATTGTCCTGGTGACAGCCGAAGATCTCCTGCTGCAAGAAAATAAGGCGCTGAAGTTTTTGTCGATGAAGAGCGCATTGATGTTGGTCCACATGGCGCAAGCGTCGTCTCAGCGACAACCATGTGAAAGATGTCCTTCAAGACGGTTTGATAAAACCATCGGATGAGGGTGCCCTCGATGGTGGACCACTCCGGGTCACCCTTCATGTACTCGCCGTCCACGGAGCCATCGATGTGCTCGGTGAGATAGTACTCGCGAAAGATGAGGTTGAAGTAGGTCTTCCACGCGTAGTACGAGGTGTTGGAGCTGTCGAGGCGGATGGGGACCCGGGCCTCAATGTTGAGGTCACGGATGGCGGCGGCGGAGGGCTCGAGGCCGGCGAAGGGGTTCGACGAGCGGGTGGTGGAGGAGCCTGGGGAGTCCATGAGCGCGGCGGGGTGGGGTGGTGCGGCGGGGTAGGGTTAGGGTTTTGTGGTGGTGGTTGAGAGCAGCGGCGGCGGGGAAGTGCGGCGGCTGCGGGGAGAGAAGGAGGCGGCGGCGGCAGGGAGGAGGAGTAGGCGGCGGCGGCGCGGTCAGGAGTGCACGGCGGCGGCGGGTCGGCGCAGAGGGAGGCGGAAATGGGGGCGGCACGGGGCGGCGGTGGTGCAGCAGAGGAAGGGTGCGGCGGTGGTTGGGTGCGGCGGCGGCGACGGCGGCGGCTCGCGCAAGAGGGCGCGGTGGCGGCGAACTCTAGGGCTGGACCGAAAAGATGATACCATGTTGAGAGACAAGTTGGCAATACAATAATTGATGTATTGATCAGGTGTTGGTGCACGTATATATAAGTATAAGGTAGGCCTCAACCTCAACTATACACAACTAGAAGGTGGACCACAATATAAAATACATGCAACAAAAATATATGCTCAACACGGATGTTGCGGTTGTTTGGAGGGGAAGGTGGAGCTGAACCCCAATCGATCAATGGCTGATGCAACACCATCTCCATTTGTTCCGTGAACTCCTCATCCGTCATCACAGCTGCATCGAGCAGGGGTTGCCTCCTCATCATTCCAGGAGATCGGCTCCGCCTTCACGGCGGACATAGCCGTGGACGATGATGGGACCAGCGGCAGCGTTAACTGGATCCGGAGGCATGCCGTGGTCGGAGAGGTAGCCGCCGAGCAGCCACCATTCCCAAATGCTCTCCTTTTCCTCCTCGGTCATCTTCTTGCCCATCGCGGAGAAGGATGACGGTGTGATGTGCGGTAACGTTGGCATAGGGGGAGGAGAGGTGAAGATGGGGTCAACTAAATATAGGACGTTTTTGCTGTTAATTGAATCAAAAATGTTTTATATTTAGTTAGAGATGTACTCCCTCCGTCCAGAAATACTTGTCATCAAAATGAATAAAAGGGGATGTATCTAGATGTATATTAGTTCTAGATACATTCGTTTTTATCCATTTTGATGACAAGTATTTTCGGACGGAGGGAGTAGTAGTTATCTTTGGGTTCTAGAAGTAGTTCTTAATGACGATGTTGCTTTGTCGCCTATGTGTGTTGTTTTTTCCGATGTTGGTTTGAGCATTGTTTTGTGTGTCACGTACATTCTTCCTAAGGAATATATCAAGCACTTACGCTTGTTTTTTGCCAAAAACAATTCCTCATAGGTGAAGGAAGTAATCCGATGGTGCATGTCTATTATTTGGTTGACATATTGATGTTGGCTAGCCGGCTAGCTATTGACCATTTCCATTATGTAAGTCCTAATAATTAATTATTTTGCTTATGTGGCCAGGTTTAATGGATACCGTAAGACGAACACATATCTGCACTTGGTCCGTCAACTGTCCCGCTCTCATCATGTGCTTTGGAATGTCGGGGTGGGGCCCATGGCTTCATTCTCACGAGCCATTTCAGGCATGGCCGTGGAGGGAAACCCTAAATACCGTGGAAAACACGTGATAAAGGTGGATCTGAAGCCCACGCCAACGGCAGAGGAAGCTCAAGGAATTGAGCTCAGCCTCATAAGCACCAAGTACCAGCTGGCCGTCGCTGCAGCAATGGAGCTCGGCCTGCTCGACCAAGGATACAACAGGCTCAAAGAAAAGCACGACGAGATACAGTACTACTCCTACGGGTGCGATAAAGGTGATATCACTGTAAGATTGTTGAGTTACGTAGAGTACAATATAGTTTCGCAGATCATCAAACAGTTGGTAAACGAGAGGTACTTGCTAGTGGCTGAGAACCTGCAGTGGCCAATTGAGCCCGGCAGTTTAACACTAGAAGATGTCGGCCTCCCTCCACCTAGGTGGTTAAATTCTCAATGGCTCATCTCGACTACTTCTCGTGATGTCTACAACAAGAGCAAGTCAAACATTGATGGAGTTATATCCATTGACGAAGATGACCAGGTTGCCGTGCTTATCCTCTTTTCACTGCATCAATCGGCCGAGCACATACTCAACATGATGCGTCAAGAAAGCAAGGAGTACTGGCATCACATAGCCCTCCAATGCTTCCACTATGCCATGGCAATCTTTACCAAACATGCACAAGTGGCAGCTATCACCTCGGATGAGCTCATCCACCATTGGGTTGCTGAGGGCATCTTGCCATGTATGGCCATCAAGGAAGAAGAAGAAACCAGCACCGTCAACAGCAAGTGTTCCAATATGCATCGACTTGGAAGGGTCATCGTTGAAGCCTTTCAGAAATACTCTTTGTTGCAGCTACCTTTTTCTCCTGCTAATGATGCTTATGAAGCCACAAATACCGGCACACAATTCATAGCATACCATGACCTCATTGCAGAAGGCATCACAGCTGATGAACTCTTTGATAATAGGAAGCAAATGATTTCCTTCACCGGTGACCATGGATGTCATGTAAGCCGAGAATGGTTGAGCCTAGAGGAAAACATGGGGGCAACTGCACTTGTTCTAAGAGGCTGTTCACATCAGTCGGTCATACTTCCCAAGCTGGACCATTTATTGCCCAACCTCTGTTTTCTTCTTGTTCTTGATCTCTCCTACACTCCCCTAAAATTACTCCCCTCTTACATTGGTTGTCTACAGAAACTTCGGTTGCTCTCACTTAGAGGCTGCCATGATCTCAAAACCCTTTCCAGTTCATCCACAACAAATGCCATAGACTCATCAACAAATATTAGTTCATCATCACCATTGTCCACTCTATACAACCTCGAATTTCTTGATATGAATGGTGTTCCTGTTTCTGTTATGACACAAGATGTTGCCAACCAAAAGGGCAATTTGATACACCTCGACATGTCACATTCAGAAATATCTACTTTCCCTCACAATTTTTTCGCGGACATGTCAAATCTGGAGGAGCTTATGCTAACCAGCTGCTCCAACCTTGTGGAGCTACCTCCTTCAATGGCTTCTCTATCCAGCCTAACAACCCTTGAGGTCACAAGGACTCGAATAAAATACTTCCCGCAGATGATATTTGAAGAAATGCAGAAGCTACAGTCCTTGAAGCTCATTCACAACAAGAAATTGATTTCACTGACAGGACCAATATCTGGTTTCCAGATAATCAAATTGGAAGGCCATCCTAACATTGTATCCTTCATGTTGATTGGCACACCTCATATAAGGGGTTTTTCTGTGCGTGGATGTAGAAAACTCGAGTCTGTCGAGATCAAGGATGTCAGTGGCTTGGAGGAAATTGATTTATCTGGTACAAGTATCAAGGAGCTCCCTGATGAAATCCCTAATCTTCCCCAACTTAGGCGATTGCTCCTTGGGGGTGTTCCTTCTCTGAGGCGATTTCCTTGGCATAGGCTGGTGCGACTGCCAGATGTGTTTTACTTGGATCATTGTTCAGAAGGAAATGGCAATCACTCTAATCAAGTTTCTCATGTGTGTGTTACTGACCCAAGGTTCTTCCGTAGCTTCACTGACACTACTGTGAATTTAGTAAGAGATGGACTGTTTTTCCAATCATTCTATATTCAAGTCAAGCCATGCATTACAAATAGCATGCGACTGCAAGATGAAGAAAGCAGGTTAGACAAGAAGGGTGAGTTGCTGCGGAATCAATCAACATATGTGGATGTATATAACAGCTATTTTACAAAGGAAATTGCAATTGCATCACCCATTACAGTTCCCCTTCACCGAACTGAGCGCCATGTAGACATCACAGGGATGCAAGAGAGACATGATGGTTTATATGATCTTCTAAAGGTCACGAAATCACTGTCAGTGACATGTGATACTTCTATCGACGAATTTTATTACCTGAGCAGTATCACTGAGCTGGAAGAATGTGAGCTTAGTTGGTGCCATAAAATGGAAGTACTTTTCAGGTGGCATAGCCCGACAAATCTACGGAATATGCATGTATGTAATCTCAAAAATCTAGTTTGGTTTTGTTCACAGTATAGTTCTTGCGACTTCAGTACACTAGAGCACCTGCACTTAGAGGACTGCCCAAGATTGGAGCACGTGGTGCTACATGGAACATCACTACCATGTTTGAAGACACTTGACATCCTGTTCTGCTACAACCTCAAGACAATTTTCTTCAGCAATAATACACAAGTTAATATCTATGGGCTCCCAAGCATCCAAAGGATACGTCTGCAGGAGTTGCCACTGCTCCAACACTTCGACAACAAGGACGCTCTCATCACAGCACCTGTGTGGAAGGAGCTCCACATCCGAGGGTGCTGGAGCCTCCGACGCCTCCCGTGCCGACAAGGATGCCTGCCAAAGACAGTGAAGGTGAACGGCGAGAGGAGCTGGTGGAGCAAGCTCCAGTGGCGCTCACCCCTGCACCTCGACAGCTACGACCCCAAGCTTCCCCCGGAGTTCGCCTCCTTCGACGAGCGCGCCGAGATGAGCAGCTACCTCAGATGAATCAATCCAGTCTCCATCAACACATCCATCCATCCATCATTTGGTATGTGATTTCACTCTGTATATTTATCCTCTGTACATCAACTATACATTCACCACTGAATACTTTCCTAAACATTACCTTGTTAGCAGTGTTCCACCATACGTCCATGTTGTATATATGTCAACCACTCTGGTCCGCAAGATCATACTTATCATCTCCAACACTTCCACGACAACGACATCACCATCACCGTGCCGGTGTTGAAGGAGCTCCACATCCGAGGGAGTTGGTGCCTCCGATTCCTCCCGCGCTTACCACAAGTACTAGATCATGATCGCGCGCGTAGCTGCGCCCGTATAGTTTTAGTTTTTTTGGAATATTGTGTAAATATTTGAAAAAGTCAAGAAAATAAAGTTACATAAAGGATAACTTAATTATTCACATAATGAGAGACTTTCTGTCCCGTTATACTGTTTCTTAATTTATATATACATGAGATAGGCATCCCAACCTCACCAACTGAGAGACCCAAAAACGAAGAAATTGATTATGTCAACGCCACCACAAAAGAAGCATTCTGTCAGGACCAACGAATTGTCCACAGTTGATTTGCAGATAATATATATACAGATACTTCATAGTATGCCTGACTTAACCTCCAAAGGCTAGGAATGTCCGCATGTGCATCACACATTAACCCCAAATATTTTTTTTGATGGTAATTAACCCCAAAATATAGTGATCAAGAATCACACATTTAGCCCAGCGGGTAGATATAAAAGTAGTGATCAAGAATCTCACAATTTAGCTCAACGGGCGGGACAAATAAGTACTTGTATAAAAGAAAGTTCAGATACTTTTTTTTTTCGGGAGTCAAAAGTTCAGAGCACGAGCAATGCTCACGGCCGCTGGGATGAACGCGTACACCTACCTTTTGGGCTAGGATCACGTTTTAAACGCACGCACCTGCCAGCCCAATAAGCACTCTTGGCCCGAACAATGACAGCTAGCCTAGATAGCTCCACGGAGCAGCGGCCCAAGAGAAACATCAGGACATCTAATTAGAACTGGGGATTTCCTATTTGGCGCATATGCGCCCGCTTGCGAACCGGCGCCTGAAGCGCTCGCGCGATGGGCCGGCCCAATAGGTTTTTTCTTCTTCTCTGTTTTAATCAGAGAAAAACACATGTGTTAGCTGTGATTCGAACCACAGACCTCGCGCATGCAATACTGCGGGGGCAACCAGCACGCCAACACACCTGATTTTGTTTAGAATGAACTTTTACTCTCTTTTAGCTTTCCCGTTTTTCCGTTTTTCTGTTTTTCTGTTTTCCTTTTTCGTTTTCTGTTTTTCCTTTTTCTTCTTCCGAGTTCGATGAACTTTTTTTCAAATCGATGAACTTTTTTCAGATTTGTGAACTTTTTTTAAAATTCGATAAACTTTTATTCAAATCCGATGAACTTTTTTTTGAATCTGATGAACTGTTCTCAAAATCGATGAACTTTTTTTCAAAATTTGATGAACTTTTTTCAAAATTTGATGAACTTTTTTACAAATTCGATGAAATTTTTTCGAATTCGATGAACTTTGTTCAAAATTTGATGAACTTTTTTTCAAATTCCATGATTTTTTTTGAATTTGATGAATTTTTTTCAAAACCGATGAACTTTTTTTGATTCGATGAACTTTTTTTGAATTCGATGAACTTTTTTCGAATCCAATGAACTTTCTTCGAATTCAATGAACTTTTTTTGAAAATCGATGAACCTTTTTCATTTTTTTGAAAATTTTCTTAAAATTTGATGATTTATTTTTTTGAATTCATGTTTTCTTTTTTGAGATAATTTACATTGAGTATATATTAATGTTTTACTGCACGAAACGGTTAACTAGCTCTGTTTTCTTGTAGTAGACAGCAAAGTTTGTTTGGTCTAGTGGTTGGTGAGGTGCACTCGCAGCAATCCGGTCCTGAGTTCGAATCGCCAGTGGTCCTCACTTTTTATTGCTTTTTTCACTTCAACAGCCAAACGCGCGTTGGGCCAGCCCATTCCAGCGACGCTGCAGGCGCCAGCTCGTTAACGGGCGCCTGCAGCGCTGACTAGGAGCTCCCTTAGAACTGATCGGACGGTTAGCGATGGCAAAGCGCCGTGGAGGCTCCTAGCTCGTTTCCGTTATACCGTTTCTCAATTCCACCATACACCATAGAGTACCTTCCTCAACACTACTTTATTAACAGTGTTCCACCATACTCCACACCAATATTGTATATGTCAACTACCTTGTGTCCTTCGACCCCCTTTTCTCTATAGTATGCATCCATAACATACTGGTAGGACTAGGGTTCCTACCGGCTCTACTCCTTAGGTTATAAGGGCAGAACTGCGGAGGTCGGGGGTGAGCACGCGAGCTCCGGCGCGTCGGCGCCGTCGCGATGGAGGAGAAGGGCGGCGGCGGTTAGGGCAGGAGGCGGCTAGGGTTTCCGGCTCCTCTGGAGCCGGGCAATATGATAGAAATATCTTTATTGCTTAATCTCGAAAAGGTGTCTTACAACTAATATTTATAACCTCAAAACGAATAGTCTAAGATAACTTGTGGGCCAAGCCCCTAACTACTGCCCAGTCGTCCTCCTCCGGTTATATGTTAAACCGGTCGTAACATCTCTTCCCTCCTGCATAAACAGCTCGTCCTCGAGCTGAAAGTCTGGATAGTGGTGGCGGAAGTCATCACGTGGCTCCCAAGTAGTCTCCTCCACCGGAAGACCCACCCACTGGATTAAGACGAACCAGACCCCGTGACGGAGTTGTGCCTTCAACACCTTCTCCGGCTCCGGAAGAAGACGTCCTTTGGCGGTCGGAGGAAGCGCGGGTGGAGCCATCGGTGGCTCTCCACGAAAAGGCTTGAGCAGCCCCACATGAAACACGTCGTGGATGCGAGCGCCGGCCGGTAGCTGAAGGCGATAGGCCACCTGCCCGATGCGCTCCAAGATGGCGAACGGTCCGGCGTAGCGAGGACCGAGCTTGCGCTTCGCGCGTGGGTCGAGTGACTGCGTAGAGCGGTGGAGAAGACGCAGCCACACCCAATCACCCACCGCGAACTCCGCCTCGCGATGGTGGTCGTCGTAGTAATGCTTCGCCAGCTGCTGGGCCTGAAGGAGGCGCTGACGGACCTCAGCAAGCATCTCGTCACGGGTGCGAATAAGGTCGCCTGCGGCCTCCGTCCGCGCCATAGCCGGGTCCACCTACAAATAGGTGGAGGCGGCCGACCGTAGACCACCTCAAATGGCACCGCACGCAGGGCGGAGTGATATGAGGTGTTGTAGCAGTACTCTGCCCATGCAAGCCAATCCACCCAAGCGCGAGGCCGATCACCTATAACACAGTGTAAATACATGGCAATCACCTTGTTAACCACCTCAGATTGGCCGTCCGTCTGGGGGTGGAAGGCCGTGCTGAAGCGGAGCTTGACGCCTGCCATCCTGAAGAGGCCGCGCCAGACATGGCCCGTGAACACCGTGTCGCGATCACTGAAGATCGAAGAAGGGAAACCGTGTAGACGGACGATCCCGTCGAAGAAGGCACGGGCCACGGACGCGGCGGTCTAGGGATGCCCCAGCACGATGAAGTGAGCATACTTAGAAAAGCGGTCCACCACCATCAGAATGACCGATTTGCCGCCCACCTTGGAAGGCCCTCGATGAAGTCCATGGAGATATCTGCCCAGACCTGAGATGGCAGATCCAAGGGCTGAAGAAGGCCAGCCGGCCGTAACGTATCCGTCTTGTTGCGCTGGCACGTCGTGCAAGAGCGCACCCAATCACGGACCAGGGGGCGATCACCAAGAATGTAGAAGTCGGCGCGGAGATGATGGAGGGTTTTCTGCACACCCTCATGGCCAGTAGAGTGGGCTAGCAGCAAGACCTGATGACGGAGATCATCATGCGCCGGGACGAAGACACGACGCCCATGGACGAGCAGGCCATCGGCGAAGCGCCAAGGCTCCTCCAGATCGCCGGCCGCCAGCTGCTGCTGCAGGAGGACCGCGTCGGCAGCGGTCGCCGTGGCCCGGCAAATGTCGTCGAAGAGGCCGAAAGTCGGCCCTGAGCGGATGCACAGCGCCGTCCCCTCAGAGTCGCCGGTGACGGAGTCGAGGTTGGCGTCGCGGCGAGACAAGGCATTGGCCATGATGTTAAGACAACCCGAGCGGTACTCGACGGAGAAGTCGAAGCCGAAGAGCTTCCTACTCCACTGGTGCTGCGGCACGGTCGAGAGCCTCTGGTCCAGCAAGAACTTGAGGCTGTAGTGGTCCGTGCGAATCTGGAAAGACCGGCCCCACAGATAGGGCCGCCAATGGCGCACCACCTGCACCAAGCCAATGAGCTCCCGCTCGTACGCCGCGAGCTTCAGATGGCGAGGGGCGAAAGGACGGATGAAGAAGGCGAGAGGACCATCGCCCTGATGAAGCACGGCGCCAAACCCTGCACCCAAGGCGTCACAGTCCACCACGAGCAGGCGGTCGAAGTCCGATATCTAAAGAATGGGCCCCGTCGTGAGAGCCCCTTTGAGGGCCTCAAATGCTGTCGTCGCCTCCTCCTCCCAGGCGAAGGCGTCGTGGCGCAACAATCGCATGAGTGGCGAAGTGATGAGGCCGAACTCCCGGATGAACTTCCAGTAATATCCGGCGAGGCCGAAAAACCCGTGAAGAGCCCGCGGAGACTGTGGCATCGGCCAGGCGGCTTCGGCGGCCACCTTGTCGGCGTCCATAGCAACCCCATCGGCCGAGATGACGTGGCCTAGGTAGGCAACCTAAGGCTTCCCGAACGAGCACTTCGAGCGCTTAAGATGAAGATGGTGCGCCTGAAGCTCGTTGAAGACGGTGGCGACGTGCTGAAGGTGCTCTGCCCAAGACGCACTATAGATCAGAATATCATAAAAGAAAAAGAGCACAAACCGACGCAATTAGGGCCAGAGGACGTCGTTCATCAGAGCCTGGAAGGTCGCCGGGGCGTTGGTGAGGCCA